AATTGATGGGTATTCGGTGATATTTTCAACCGTCTTCCTTTGATTCATGAGGTGCGGGGATGCGGTCTTCAATATTGATGCTGTTAGTGTAGCATGCCTAGATAGATTTTCATCACCATTCTTTCAGCATTGTTGGGATATCATATACAAGGATGTTTAGAGTGCGATCATTGATTTCTTTGAGGATGGCCCTCTGCCTTGTGGTTTCGCCACTATCTCTATTGTTTTGCTTCCGAAAAGGGAGAATGCTTACCGATGGACAAATTTTAGACCTTTCAGCCTTTGTACGGTGTTCAATAAGTTGATTACTAAGTTGTTGAACACTAGATTACTCTGACCTCGCATTATCTCTCCTCAACATATTGGTTTTATATTCTATTGTCTTATAGGGAATAATGTGTTATTGACTTAGGAGCCCTCTACACTTTGGACAATAAAGTACAAGAGGTGAGGATCCCAGACTAGCGCATCCCATCTATCTGAACCCTGGTTATGCCTCATGTGATGCTACTACTAGAAGGGACTTGTGGACAGGACTTCACCACACTTTCCACTCTATGGAGGATCCTAGGCTAGTTAGGGAAGACTTCGTTATTGCACATGATGGTACGCGCACTAGTCACAGCACTAGTGATCAGGGTTCTACTACTTCTTTTGATATGATGTTGGATTGTAAGTTGGAAGATTGGTTTCTATAGGAGTCAATATACTTAGACTAATGGTTGGGTCATGAAAATATTGGATAGAGTTTGTGTTAACTCCACAGCAGCAACTTTCTGTCAATAGCTTATTGTGAGACATTTAAATCGAACTTCATCTAATCATTTTCCTTTGCTTCTACAATGGACATTTGATAATGATTTAGGGCCCAGACCCTTTCGATTCCTAAATATATGGACTAAACACCATGATTTCTTAGCCTTCGTCTCTCAGAAGTAGTAGCCCTCAACTTATCTTATGGGGATGGCTGCTCTTCAGGAGAAGTTTTTCAGGCAGAAACAGAGTTTGAGTTGGTGGAATTGATGGGTATTCGATGATATTTTCAACCGTCTTCCTTTGATTCATGAGGTGCAGGGAGGCGGTCTTCAATATTGATGTTGTTAGTGTTGTAGGCGTGGATAGATTTTCATCACCATTCTTTCAGCATTGTTAGGATATCATATAGAATGATGTTTAGAGTGCGATCATTGATTTCTTTGAGGGTGGCCATCTGTCTCGTGGTTTCGCCACTACCTCTATTGTTTTGCTCCCAAAAAGGGAGAATGCTTACCGATGGATAGATTTTAGACCTATCAGCCTTTGTACGGTGTTCAATAAGCTGATCAATAAGCTGTTGAGCATCAGATTACTGTGATCTCGTATTATCTCTCCTCAACATATTGGTTTTATATTTGATCGTCTTATAGGGGATAATGTGTTACCGACTTAGGAGCCCTCTATACTTTGGATGATAAAGTGCGAGAGGTGAATGCTATGTTGAAGCTTGACATGGCTAAGGCACATGACCGCATGGATTGGGGATTTATTACTCTCTAATGGAAGCGTTTGGATTTGATCAATTGTGGATTGACAGGATCAGACGGTGCATTTCGAAGTGTCAGTTCTCAGTGCATTTGAATGGCCGTCCCTGTAGATTACTTCCATCCTCAGGTGGGCTCAAATAGGGTGATCCCATCTCACATTTCTTGTTCATTATTGCTATAGATTATTTCTCTCGTCTTCTCATTTAGAGGTTTCAGGCCTATCTCTGTATGGGATATCGGCATGGAGGCAACATTCTTATCTCATACCTTTCTTTTGCTAACGACATGATCATATTCGTCAATGGCCAGAAATAGTCTATTAGGAGGATCCTCAACTTTTGGAGCATTACGAGAAGGTTTCTGGCAAATTGGTGAATATAGATAAAAGCGGTCTTATACTACCTAGATGGGCATTAGATATTCGAATCAAGAAACTTGTATTCTTGATTGGGTCTACTCATCAGCAACAGCCGTTTACTTATTTGAGAGTCCCCTTATTTAAGGGGGCCAAGATAGGTTTTTTATACGATGACCTCATCATGAAGGTCAGAAGAAGCAGGATATCGGGCTAGGCTTCTCGACTACTATCCCCTGGGGGCCAAATTACTCTGTTGAGATCAGTACTATCATTTCCACCACTTTATCTTTTTTAGATTATGTGGCCTCCCAAGACTGTACAGAAAATGTTGGAGAGCATCTTTGCACCTTTTATATGGGATTCTAAAGAATAGGTACTCCAACTGCACTGGAGAAGCTAGGAGGAGATTCGCCTTCCAACAGATGAAGGTGGGCTAGATTTCAGGAGACTACAAGTGGTGGAAACTTTTTCTTTGAAGCTTTGGTGGTTGTTTCGATCTCAAAGTTCTCTTTGGGCTCAGTTCTTACTAGACAAATATTGAGACACACATTGTATGTCATCTCCTTGGAAAAGGTTGAAGAGAGTTGCATCACACACTGAGCCACACATTGCATGGCACCTTAGCGTAGGATAGATGTTCTTCTAGCACAATTGCTGGATGGGTAATACTACACAGGCATTCCTATTTTCAAACAAGCAGCACACATTTGTAAAGGTGCAAAAATGTTCTGATGACACTGAGTAAGATTTCGGATGATTATAATAGGCTCTTCCCCCATACATGGTGAAACAGATAGGGGCGATACCTTTATATGCAGTGCCCCTAGACCATATTGTTTGGAGGATTGCATCAGATGGTAGCTTTGCTACCAACTCAGCACGGCAGCTAATCCGTTCGGTTTGCCAATCTCAGGACTCGTATCAATTACTGTGGAGCTCCATTTTGCCTACCTCTATTTCATTCTTCTGTTGGAGATTATGGCAGGATCTCATTCTAGTAGATGTAGTCATTCAGATGAAGATTGGGTGTCAGTTGGCTTATCGATGTCAGTGTTGCTCTGAGATTGAGACCACCAATCATATCTTCACTGGCAGCAGCATCTCTGATCAGGTATGGTAGAACTTTGGGACATTTTTCAAATACCCATGAAATCAAGAAAGGGGGTTAGACAAAGGTTCCAAAGATAGAAGTATTCTGGACAACACATTCGCTATGAACATATTTGCACTATCATTCTTCTACTGATATTTTGGTTCTTATGGGCCGAGAGGAATGATGCGAAGCATAGGAAGATCATATGGTGGCTAGATGGATAATTTGAAGGGTATACTGCATGGTCTCCTTTCTTCATAAGGGAGTACTTTTTAGAGCAACGCATAAGTGAGGAGACTTAACACTTATACCACTCTTTGATATTTATATGACTTTCCCTCCTTCACCACCACCACCTATTTTAGTTGTTTGGCACACCCCACTAGTGGGATTTTACAATATCAATACTAATGGATGCATCAATAATGGATTTGCGATTGGTGGAGGCATCGTTAAGGACCACACAAGATACTGCATCAAGGCATTCTTAGCTACATATGGCCCATTTTTTTATTTTGAAAGTCGAGCTCAAAACTATATTAGATGGGATTCTATTGGCCAGAAAAAATGGGTTATCAGTGATTTGGGTTGAAGCAGATTCGACCATGGCTATTCACTGAATCACTAAGGCGGAGGACTGGTCAAACGACCCTTAGTCCTATAGCGGCTTCAACGGGATGGTTATTATCCTGATACACCATTTTTTTTTAATTTCCAAGACAATTAATCAATGACGAAAACAATTGTCAAAAAGTAAACAAAACAGACAAGTCAGACAAAAAATTGCATTGGTATGAGAAAGCAAATTACTGAATGAGAATGTATATGTGTTACCTACCGCATGCTAAAAGCATATTTGGAATATAATTTTAGATAGGATTAAACATCGCTTAGCATTATTATCAGTCTTTTAAGCATCAGAATGTCAGTGTTAATTGTTTAACAGGTGGATTAGTACTTCAGCTGGTGAGTCACAGTTGAAGTATGGCTTGCAAGCAAGAATATGCTGTGAGAAGATATAGTTCCTTTCCTTATGGAAGGAGAACAAATTTTCCCCAAAAATTAATATTGCCAATTCCATACAGTTTTAGATTCTAAACAGATGGTATCAAGAACATAAAAATCTTGACGAATATTCAAGTTTAGACCAAAAAGAAAGGACGGACCATTCTTTCCCGGTCTTCAAGTCAAGTTTGGACTACACTAAGACAACAATCTTGTTATGTGTACAGGGGATTTTGCCTATTCAGTTTGACAGATTGCCCGCTGTCACAATTTCATTGGATATTGGACAAAAAAATAACTTCAAACCAACCAATCCAATGTTGCCATCTCATCACCTGTAAAAATTCCTAGCAGAAATCCCTATACATAGAGCTTAATTGCTAAGACAAATGACATAAATCCCTTTCTTAAATCAGTTACACTCCAAAGATTGCTCTATAACAAAAGAAGTCTCATGTATAACGTCCAATGAGAAAATAAAAACAATTCACTGCCACTTTACTACAAGCATATACGCTCAACCTCTCTTTCTAAGTTCATTCTTGGAAGGGCAAAAGGAACCTTATTTGTAGGTACATAATGAGACCTCGTAAGAAAGGTAACACTCAAGGACCAAAGAACCAACTTCAAGCTAAAAATTCGTAATGATAATTTTTGAACAACGCCACTAACGATGAATAAGACAGGCAACCAGCAAGGAGAATATACTGGAATAATATCAACGAGCTGGCAAATAAAAGGAGATTCTTCAAGAAATGACAAGAAAAACTTGAATTTTACTAAATGTGACCATACATCAATAACCTGTTTAAATAAAGTGCACATTAGAAGACGGCAAAGAAAAGAAAGCAACTTTACAACTACTACTTCACTATGAACCTCTCAAAAGTATCCCAACCTACATTTTATTTAGTGAGTTAAGTCTATTTTTCCATTTAGGATAGTTTCCCAACCTACATTTTATTCAGTGATTAAGATAAAATAGCCAACAAAATGCAGCATTAAGTATGCAAACTACAACTTCTCAAATTAGACTTGTATCATAAATCATGAATTTTATATATTAGTTTATAGGTCTAGTAACAACACCTCAAGTTGAGAGCCCAACCAAAGACTGAATGAAGATTCTGTGATTCTAAAGTTTAAATAGCACTTCACAAGAAGTAAACAACAGAATGAACAAAAAGTTGAAAGGATTCTTCTACAAACAAAAACTGTCCAGAAAAATCTAGCTAGGTTGATCAGAAAAAGACCTGATCATAGGTAGCTTTATGAGCTTTTGTAGCATTTTGCCGGATCTCAATAGCAGGCACCACAATAAGGCAAGCATAAGCGCAAATATCCGACCTCCAATAAGTCCGATGAGAACAATCAGACACAGTACTAAATAACTCGAATCATGTCCAGCTTCTGTTTTCGCCTCTTCACCAGCTAAAGTTTCAGAAGCGAATTTATCATCAAAAAAATCTTTCCGTCCATCCCTTTCGCTTGAGAGGGACGGCGATTTGGAAGCAACATCAGATTCCATTTTGTCCTCACATTCATATGTGTTTTGTTCTTCACATATGACAATTTTATCTTCTCTTATAGGACTAAATTCATAACTTTCAGAGCTACGTTCCTTTCTTCTCTGTAGTTTCTTTGTAACAAATTTCTTGATCTTCGATTTCATCTTAGCTCTGCGTGACTTCCTCTCCTTCAATTCCAACCTTTCACTTATAGACTCTTCCTTTTCCATGATCAGTTTCTTCATTTCCAATTCTATACATCCCAATCTCCCATCATTGCTAGAATCCTCTGTCATCTCCTTCTCACACTGAATTTCCTCTGCAATAGCAATCCATAAACGCTTAGGTTTCACATTTTGAGGTTCTCGAATTGGACTATTCGACCCACAATCCTTATTCAAACCCGAGCAACTGGGCTTAAAAGACTTGTCTAGCAACACATCATAACTCAAAACATTAGCATTCTTCCTATCTGCAAAAATCCTCCAGAACCTTTGTACCATCAATCTTAACCGTTCCTGTGCTTCAAAACATGGCTTTAGCAATCCACATTTCCCCACATACTCGAGGAGAAACAAGAAGAATGCCGAAATTGTTATCCCCGTTGGTAATTTATCCGTACCCATCGCCAAAGCAACGGCCATAAAGATCTTCACAACCACCAGACAAACCCGAACAGTATCCACACCCCTGTTAACGCCACTTCCGCTCTCATCACCACCATCCACAATAGCAATTTCGTCTAGATCCCTCGACTGCAGATGTAAAGGCAAAGGAGAAGTACAATGCAAAGAGGGGCATGAAGTGGGCAAGGATCCACTCACCACCGAATCATTAGAATCATTAGAAGTGGGTAGAGACGAGTTCTTAACTCTCTTTTTCTTGGATGGGGTTTTCAGTTTTTCGCGATTCTTAATGAAAAGATCAACGAGAGAAGTCGGGAACCCAGTCTCCACCACAAGAGAAGAGTCCCCACGCCTTTTCTGGGAGTTGTGCAAATGATCATTTACCAATCGGGAAATTCTGGTGCTCCTCATCTTCTCCCATGACAACGGCATGGTAGAGAATACAGATGACGAATGATCCAAGATTTCGGATAAATTAACACCAAAATCGGAAAATGGGTTCAATTGAATTAAAATTCTGTGCTATTGCATCACATAACCAAAGAGATCATTTACGGGCTTTGCGTTGATAGATTTGTGGGTAAGTTCAAGAAATCAGGGGAAGGAGCTCAAGAAAGAAAATTTTGGAAGAAATATGAAGGGGCGCTTCACGCTTGTGACATATGGTTTAACCTTGATCATCAATGGAGCGGTGAGGGGTGGTTTAACGAGTTTTATTATCGCTGTCGGTTGGGTGCTAACATGCGAAAATAATGGTGTCTGAAGGATGAAATAGTTCCGTTCCATTTTCAACTCATCTAGGATCTAGGGAAAATGGGAAATATCTATGTGTTTCTGTTCTTATTATTTTATTTATGCTTTACGGTTTTATTTGATAGTAATTTTTTTTCAAAATACATTTTTCTCTATTTTTTTCAATCATACACTCTTTATTAAAATAATATTATACGTAAATCAAAAAAATTTTCTTATTTCTCAACCACATATTTCACATCGATTTACTATTCTAAAATACATTTTTACATAAAAATGCCTATTAAACAGCCTCTAACTGAAATCTGAATTAGAATGAGGATATTACGTAGAAACAAGGCAAGAGCCGGGAGGACTACTCCAACCATAGTCCCATTCGTTGACTTCCACTTTATGCTGAGAATTTCTTTTGTGTTAAATCCTTAAAATGTTGTAAAAATGCTCTTGTGCAAACTAGTGCTCAACTTTGTATTTTGACATTTGCATTTTCAGCCCTTGTCTGGAGCCGATTTTTTGAACAAAAAAATAATTTTTATTACTGTTAATTTTGAAAAGCAGCCGTCATTTTTTACTACATCTCTCATAGATGGGGCCACAATCAAAGATAATGGCTCTATTTTTGCTTAAAATTCGTTGAAGAAGCAACTCTATGTTGTGAATCTACTTATACATGCACAGCGGAAAATTAAATTATTTCGATTCCCATCCAATAGATCTCATTGTGTTTGGTTAGGAATTGTGATAAGATTGTACCTTTTGTCAGATCTGCAATCTTTTTGCTTTTCTTTTCGTTCCATCAACCTTGATTTGTCACCACAGCTGTCCAATTGTCCAGCCTCCAACGGTGATCCACACAGAGAATATGATTGCAGCCTCTAGGGTTTTCTCTTGTGCCAGCAAGAATAATGAAAACCTTAATGGACCTCAAACCCTAGTTATGTATTTATATAAACCCAAACAGGCTCGGCCCGGTCCGGTCCAATAATTAATTAATCCAATTAATTAAACCCGGTCCGTGAATTATTTAATCCAATTAATTAATTTATTCAACGATTGTTAAATTAATCAATTGGCAATTTGCAATCTTCCAATTCTCTTTTGTGTGTGACCCATTAGGTTCCCGACCACGATGCCTAACGACGTGAAATATTATTTTGATCTAATCAAAATCGATAAATTAAAACACCCTTTTAATTTATCGTCAATTCACATTCGCCGTCCCTGATTGACATCTAGCAATGTGTCAGGGCAATACATGTGACGGGAAATGTCACGTGGTATGACAAAATCAAATTCGTTCGTTTACCGTGAAACTATAATCCCTTCGTCAATATGATCTGATCAATTACGAGATATGGAGTTGTGTCAATCTCGATCATCGATCATATCTTTCACTCCACTATTAAGTCAATATAAATCGAAAACTCCTTTTCGACTCATGAGTACACCTTGGCCAAGGATTTCATCATTGACTTAATTGAATGAAACGCA